AACATTTAGGTAAATGCCCAAAAGTGGGATTGCTGGGTCATAGGGGAGAGTTAACAAACCTTTTAACTCTCACTGACTCATTGTAGTATTTTAAAACATTCTTAATTGAAAAATATCAGGTAAGAATGGATGTGATTTTTATGAAGTGTGAATTATCAGCAAAACTTCTAACAAATGTGTGTACAACATTATCAGAAAAATAAAATTTGCCATTACTAAGGGCCCAATTTGTGATTTTTAAGAATCTCCCTTCATGAAGTACAAGATAATCTCACCTGAAACTAACAACAGGTCCAACCTCAGAAAAGATGTCCTTCAATTGTTCCTCTGTAGCTTCATAAGGAATGTTTCCCACTAAGGAATAGATAACATATTAAATCTGTTTGTAATGTAGATCTCTAGTGAGAAAGTATACACTACTTACTTATATAAACAAACAGATAACTGGCTCAAAATCGTGTTTTCTAAAACCCCCTTCCATTAAGTTTCGATAGACCTCTTAAATGAAAATGAGCCAGCATCTAAATATAAAAGATGCAAATACTCCGAAACAATTGTTAAATGAATCAAATAGTAGATTTGGTTAGGTGTTTGACATATATTAGATTTTTGTCAAAAATATCAATTTTTTTACATTTTCTTCTTATTATATCTTCAAGTAGTTGTACAAAGAAGTTCCCATTCGGGCTGGGAAGGTGGCTCAGTGGTAGAGCGCTTGCCTTGCATGCTCAAGGCCCTGGGTTCGATTCCTCAGCACCACATAAGAAAAAAGAAAAAAGCCGGAAGTGGCGCTGTGGCTCAAGTGGTAGAACGCTAGCCTTGAGCTGAAGAGCTGAGGGACTGCGCCCAGGCCCAGAGTTCAGGCCCCACAACCGGACCCCCCCCCCAAAAAAAGAAGTTCCCATTCTACAAACAGTATATTCAGTACAAGATGTCTGACAACATTGTCAGCCATCACTCTTAACCCATCCTTTCTCTTTTTTTAATTTTTTTCTCTTTTTTTTAAAGGGGATGTTTACAAGTTATTCTTGACTGTTTTATTATGACTGTCAAAAAGTATTTTAGAATCACACCTTTAAAAAATAACTTATTCCAACAGTAAAAACTATTCAGAATCTTCTTTAAATCTCTTAAACTTTTTTTTTTGTCGGTCGTGGGGCTTGAACTCTGGGCCTGGGCACTGTCCCCAGCTCTTCAGCTCAAGGCTAGTGCTCTACCACTTCCAGTTTTCTGATGGTTTATTGGAGATTAGTCTCAAGGACTTTACTGCCCAGGCTTGCTTTGAGCAGTCATCCTCATATCTCAGCCTCCAGAGTGGCTAGGATTACAGGCGTGCGCCACCAGCGCCCAGCTTCAATCTGTTAATCTTTTTCTCCTTCAGTCATTTACAATCCATCCCAGGATGTCCGGTGCCTACTACCACCATAAACGATCAAAAACATAAAAAAAGCCAAGAATATATGTCGTTACGAAGGAAGTGTACTCAGGGATATAAAAAAATTTATCTGCATTCGATTGGGGGCAGGGAGAGACTGAATAATCGTTACTGCGGCCAACTGGCTTTCAAAAAAAAACAAACCTAAACAACAACAAAACCCCTGACGATATAGATGGGCTAACTCCCGTGATGACACTGTGGAAAATCTGCAAGATTTCTGAGGAAAAGGGTCATCTCTTATCTCTCGGCCCACGAATCTACGGGGTCTGCCGCCCACAGGACAGGCAGGGATGGCGGCGGCACGCTCGACCCGTCATGGCTTTCGTGACGAGACCAGGGCGTGAGGAAGGAGGTGAAAGGGGGCGTTCCTCGCCGCTCCCAGTCACTTTCTGTTCCTCGTGGAAGGGACAGAAATTCCACCCCATTTCTCTCACCAAAAACAGAACGAAGAGAACGATCCACCGCAGGGTCCCTCACAGTCAAACCCGCCATCGCTCCCCTCAGGCGACTTCCGGTGCGCCTAAGCACTTTTCGCTATGGCATGCGCACCCCGCTCAGACCACGCTATAAGCCGGAAACTCGTGGGCAAAGTGCACGCAGGACCCCTTCCCCCACCCGCCACACGTCAACGTCACTTTGAAAGCGACGGCAGCGCTCACTTTGTTCGTAAGAGGGCTGGCCCTTTCTGGGCGGGCAAATGGTCTGAGAATAACGATCTGCGCACAATCAGGGCGGGGCTACGCTACTTTGAAGGTCTTTACTCAGCAGGCTAACTTAATATTCATTTTCTTGTAGGACGACGCAAGTACTCGTAGGCCGTACTAGTTTACCTTGGTAACAGGGAAGTCATTTGCTTGGCATTTTCATTTTGGCTCCGCCCTATTAGAGCAGATAAATGTTTGAACCCACCCCACTACTGTTCATCTTATTACTTTGTTAAATGTATGGTGTACCGATAGGGAAAGTGAGTGGAGTCAGACGTGAGAATTATCACCGGTCCATTTTCAGACTTGGAAAGCAGACTCAATTCCTTCTTTAGTAGCTTGCGCCGCAAGCACCGTTAGTAGGGCTTCAAAACAGAGCGCAAAACATCACGGAAGGGCGATACCTCGCTTAGATTCCTGTTATGTTCAAAAGAGGAAACATGTCAGAGAAAATAGACAAAGAGATGGCTTAACACCTTCACGGGAAAACACGCAAACGGGGAGGTCCCGTTGACAGCTGTTGATTTATTCCTCGCTTACAAACAGAAGTATTTATAGTGGGTCCGAAAGAATGCTAGAATTGTCTGATGGAGGTGGGTTGAAAATTAACTTAATTTTGTGACGAACGGTGGGAAACTATGTCACTCCTGGAGGTAGGGAGGGAGCTGAGCCAGGATATCTGCTTAAGGTCCTAACTAGGAGTAAATTTTGGCATGGTTCCTGCTGCATGTGTTTATCTGGACTTGGAGAGAGGATAAGGTGGGAGAGTTAGTGAATCTAGGCACTGTTCTGAGGCCTCAAGATAAGGACATCTGAATATTTGGACCTAACAGTTCCCAAGCTACAGGGTCATGCATGCATGAAATCCAGAGTACGGTGCTGAGGAGGATATTATTAGGGAAGGGGGAGGGGGAAGGAACTAAAGGTCAAGCGTGGGTAGCTCGCACCTGTAATCCTATGAAGGCAACAGAAATTAGGTGGATTGATGTTTGATGCCAGCCCAGACAAAAAGTTAGAGAGATTACCATGTCAGTATATGATTCCAGTGTGTGGTTCATGCTTGTGATCCCAGTTACATGGGAAGCCACAGAATAGACACACACAAAAAAAGACAAGACATTGCCTGAAAAATAAAGCATAAAAGGACTGGTGGTGTTGCTCAAATGGTACAATGGGAGCACAAGGCCGTGAGTTCAGCCCATGTCTCTCAAAAAGTTGAATGCCATCTATTGAGGAACGTGATGCTGAAGAGAGGAAGTCTAAGATGGTAAAATAGGAACAGAATTTAAGGCATAGATGTAAAAAAATAATTGAATGCATACCCTATTAAAAGAGATTACATGTATGCCCTTGATTGAAAAGTGAGAAATAGAAAGGAAAATGCTAGTTTATGTGGTGGAACATGTCATTTCAAGAAGTAATTTTGTTGGGGGGGGGGGAGGATGGGAAGGAATGGGAAGGGGAAACAAAGGAGGAGGCTACAATGCTTGATAAGAAATGTACTCATTATCTTGCCCATGTAATTGTAACCCCTCTGTACAGTATTTTCACAATAAAAAAAAAAAAAATTTTAAAAAATTTAAAAAAGAAGTAATTCTGTTAAAGATAGACCGTTTTGGAAGGGTACTTCTCTTTCCCTGCCTTTGGAGTCCTAATTTCCATCACTAACCTAGAGAACATCTAGTATGATAGAGCATTTCATATTGAGATTTACACAGCTATAAGAGGCACAGTTTCAAAGAGTTTTGGAGTGAGTTGGTTTCAGGGTAGTACAACTTTGTTAAATGCACATATAGCCAAGTACTTTCCTATCCTCAAAGTTAGGTGAAACAACTAAGAGTAGAGATTCCTTGGGTTCTACCCCAGGTCTATGGGATAAGATTCTAGACAAACTTATTTTTAAACAAGTGTCCCTGGTGGTTTTTAGGGTCAAGCAATTTGGGTAGCAATGTAGTTACAGAGGTAGCTTTGTGGCAACATTTAGGACAGTGTTATATTCTTATGAAATTTCTTTTACAGTAGTTCTCAAAGTTCTTAATCCAGATTTTTCTCTTGTGGGAGAGAATGCTTGGAAATGTACAGGAGTGTTTGGTTGTTGCAATGACTAGTGGAGCACTGTTAGTGGATGGAGAGAGTGGAGCCAGACATGATAAATACATTGTCATGTCCTGGAAAATTCTATTCAGTGAATCCCTTACCACATCAAATACCAATAGCGTCTCTTCCTTTGAGAAACACTGTTCTTAGTAGCCACATCTGGATCTGAAAGGCATGTTGTATTGCCAGCTTTACCTGGATAAGTTACATGTAAACCTTCCCATAGCTGTACAGCTGATCTCAATAATAACATTGAGCATTTTCTGTCTTAATTGTGTTAGTTTTCAATTGCTTTGAAAAATTTTTCCACACAGTGACTTGCAGCAATGTTCATTTATTATCTCACAGTTCTGTAGGTCAGAAATTTGGGTAAGCATGGCTAGGTGCTCTGTTTACTTTCTCACAAGGGTAAAATTAGGAACATTGGGCTTTTATCTGTATTCTCTGGGGGCGAATCAGCATCTAAAACTCATTTTCTTGTTGATAGAGTTTGGTTCTTAGAAGTTATACAATTGGGATTCTTGTTTCCTTGCTCACTGTTGTCTTGTGGGCTATTAAGTTTAGCTCCTAGAGATGTCTCGCTGGTCCTTATATTCAGGCTCCCATATGACAGAGCCAGCATCAATACACAGACCTTATGCTCTGAATCTCTTACTTCTTCTTCGACCAAGTGGGGAGTAATCTGCATTAAAAGGCCTCCTGCATTTAGTCCAGGCACTCCCTCCCTCCCTCCCTAGTTTGCTTGCTTGCTTGCTTGTGTATATGCTGATACAGGGTATAACCTGAGCACTGCCCTCAGCTTTTTTACTCAAGACTAGTGCTCTCTCATTTGAGCCACAGATCCATTTTGGGATTTTTGGTAGTTAATTGGACCTAAGAGTCTCACAGACTTTACTGCTGGGGCTGGCTGGCTCTGAACCATAATGGTCAGAATTCAGTCTTCTGAGTAGCTGGGATTACAGATGTGAGCCACCAGTGCCAAGCTATGTTTTCATTTTTTTGTCAGTCCTGGGGCTTGAACTCAGGGCCTGGGCAAGGTCCCTGAGCTAATTTTGCTCAAGGGCCATAGCACCACTTCTGGCTTTTTCTGTTTAAGTGGTACTGATGAATCAAACCCAGGGCTTCATGCATGCTATGCAAGCACTCTACCACTAAACCACATTCCCAGCCCTATGTTTTCATTTTTTAAAACATTAATTCTAGCCATTTCAGATGAAGAGCTATACCCCTTAGTCTGGAAAAATGTGATCTTAGGATAATCTTATAATAGAATATATGACCAGGGCACAGGTTCAAACCATGTGTCATGGAAACATTGTATTTCCTGCCTGTGTCTCAGAAATCATCCAGAGGAAAGGCCCATACAGACGTAGAACCAGCCCCTAGTGAAAGGTTTTGGCAATTATTATAAGATTTCACTTTTAAGATTTAACTGAGAAGCAGGGAGGAGAAAAAATGTTTCTCAGTTAAAACAAACAAACAAACACACTTTGTGGCACCATTTGGCCTATATCTGAAATTCCACCATGGAATTGGAGGCAGAAGGCAAACAGGAGAATTTCAAATTTGAGGCCAGCCAGGGCTACATAGTAAGTTTTAAACCAGTTTAAGCTACATATGTCTCATTAAAAAAAAAAAAAAAGCCAGGCGCCGGAGGCTCATGCCTGTAATCCTAGCTACTAAGGAGGCTGACATCTGAGGATCGTGGTTCAAAGCCAGTCCAGGCAGGAAAGTCTATGAGACTCTTATCTCTAATAAACCACCAGAAAACTGGAAGTGGTGCTGTGGCTTAAGTGGTAGAGTGCTAGCTTTGAGCTGAAGAGCTGAGGGACAGTGCCCAGGCCTTGAGTTCAAGCCCCATGGCCGACCAAAGCAAAAATAAAAATAGAAACAAAACAAAAAAACCTACCAAGTATCTGAGCTGAAAGTATAGCTCAGTTATAAAACACTTACCTAGCTGGGTTCAGTCCCTAGCACCAAACCAAACCATAAAAACAAAACAAAACAAAAGTTAAGTTTTTAAATCACTGAGTTAGATGACTTTTCAAGTCTTTCCCACGTGAGATCTAGAAATAAAAGTTATGCCAAAATAAAAATAAACCACAAACCTACATACCACTATGGAGTCTATATATCACTATCATAAAAAGTTAATACTTGTTCAAACCTTTGAAGTTGTCATGGTAGCATTTCTCAATATACTTCCTAGCTCAAGGCCAGCACTTTAACACTTGAGTCACACCTCTAGTTCTGTGCTTTTACTGGTTAATTGGAGATGAGTTTTAGATTTGTCTGACAGAGCCAGCCCTGTCAGACAATAATAAATTACCTATCTCTTGCTAAGTTTTTCTAGGCTGGCCTTGAACTTGTCAGTCTCTTGTCTCTGGCTTTTGAGTAGCTGGGATTATAGATATGCACTATCGTGCATGGATGGTTTTGCTTCTATTTCCTGTGCTTTTGGGGTCTTTTCAAAAAAGTAATCCTGGCACAATCCAATGTCTTGAACTATTTTCCTGTGTTTCCTTCAAGTCATTTTATAGTTTTGGATCTTATAATCGCTTTCCAATCGAATTTTATAATTGGTGAGAGACATAGGTCAAGTCCCATTCTTCTGCTTGTTGATACTCAATTTTGCAAGAACTGTTTGTTGAAAAGACTTTCTTTTCTGTAATGTGTCTTCTTAGGGCCTTTGTCAAAGATTAGTTGCCAGTAGATGCATAAATTTGTTTCTAGGCTATTCTGATCATTAGTCTGCATTTCTGATATTATGCCAATACAATGCTGTTCTG